GAGATGCTTACACGTTCATTGATCCGGCTTTCCCCCTACAGTCGGCGTCATAGTGTGTGTTGTGTGAGCTGGAGGAGGACTTTGTGGATTGTTGTCAGATTTATGGGCTAATGTTGGACTTGTGGGCTTGGACAGCACTGGGTTGGGATGTTTTCTTGATGTGCACTTAACCTTTATATAAAACTCTCTCTTATGCATGAGTTTCTGTGGATTTGTTTCTCTAAAGTACTCAGACTAACACAGCAGCCCACAGCACTTTCAATATTCTTCTCTGGCACCACAATCCAGATGTAATGATTCACCTTGGGTAACCCTGCTGGTATTTGACATAGCTTCCAGCATCACAGTAACACACAGTCACTATAATATGACAGACAAGTGATGAATGCTGACTCATAGAGATTCTACCTAGGGTTTCTGTAGCAGTTATATCATTTCCTGTCAAATTGAGGGAAGGGGTGCAATCTAGCCTGTCATTCAGGTCATAGCCAATCATGCTTCTGTGTGGGCATGGCTTTCTCCTGAGGATTCTGGGAACTCCTCTCTTCCTCCTTGGAGGTGGGACACACTCTCTCTGCTCTGTCTTCCTGCTGACAAGCCACATGGAGCCATGCTGATGGCTGCCTGAGCTCTGGAGCTGGAGGGGCCACATGGAGACCCACACCAGTGCTGAGATGCTTCTACCACGACTGAATCCACAAGACTTTCCACCCACTGGCAAGTGATCTTCCTGCATTTGGCATCATTGCATGTGTTGCATGAGTCTGAAAAGGAAATTATAGACTTGTATTGGACATATGGGCTAATATCGGACTTAAGGACTTGATCTGGCCGGGGCTGGGGTATTTTCTTAATATACAATTACTCTTTGATATAAAATTCTCTCTTACACATATATGAGTGTCAATGAATCTGTTTCTCTAGTCTACCCAGACTAACACATTTCAAACTGATAAAGCTTTACAGGAGCAGGCAACCTCATCCTTCTCCTTAAGAGAGGCTGGTGGGTTTGAACCACTGACCTTTTAGACAGTTGATAGTTACCGAAAGTTTTTACAACCCTTGTCTGTACTCACTTTATAGATGAGAAAATGGAAGTGGTGATTACACCCTATACATTTCCTCTGGCAATTGGTACTTACAATAACAATGGCAACTACAATAATGTTAGGTGCCATCGAATGGGTTCCAGAGTACAGAGACCCTACACACTGCTGGTCCTCCACCAGCCTCCCAAGGGCTGCTATGTTTGAGCCCATTACCGCAGCCACTCTTCAATCCAGCCCCTTGACAGCCATCCTCTTTTTCACTGCCCTTCCACTTCCCCGGGCTGGTGTTCTTTTCAGTGGACTGACCTTTCCTGATCACAGGTCCAAAGCACATGAAACGAAGCCTCGCCAGCTTCTC